ACCCAACCGTGCCTTGAGAATGTGCTATAGAAACAGTGGTTCCTTCCACACCTTGTCCCATGGGCAGTAAACCATTAAGATGGTGATCCAATGAAGAAGATGCATTTGAAGGAATAGGACTGATCACTCCAATACCCATGAGGCAAAGTTGCTTGTTGGTTTGGTCCCTCAAGGTATGGACCAACCCATGGATGGAGACACTGGGCGGTTGATTGTTCCTGTTGTTTGTTGGGATGCTGGCCTCACGCAGCCTGGCTTTCCATGGTCTCCTCCTTTTGTTCGTGCAATGCCTCCACCAGTGGTGCTAGCTGTTGGCTAATTATGGTGTTTCTTGCTTTGCAAGGTTGGAGGATGCAGCAGATGATTCACTGGGTTTGTAAGATGGTGGGGGAACAACAGGTAGCCGGTGGACTGAGGGTGGTTCCACTGGTGACTTGACAGGTGTGGATGGTGGTGGTTCATTGCTACCTGGTGGTGTTGCGGTGGTGGTGGTGGTGGCGCGGTTTGGTGTATTTGTTGCCAACGGAGTTGCCACATCCTGTGGTAGTGTCTGTTGCTGCTGCTGCAACTGATGATTCTGCTGTTGTTGCTGTCCTTGTTGTTATTGTTGTCGTTGTTGCTGCTGCTTCTTCCTTCTCTATGCTTCTACTGGTACCTGATGACCGCTGTTTGTGCTGGTTGGTGTGGTGTAGATGGTTGTTTTGAACAACCTGTTCACGATAACATCACTTGTTAGACTGAGGATCTTGCACTGCTGTCCAATGACCGTAACGAGGCTTTGCTTGACCCATGGTCCCTGGATTCCTTTCGAACCGGACTGGGAGGTGGTTCGCGTGCAATTGGTGCGTCGAGTTTTCCCTAGGAGTGGTGATCGGACACCTTGAATCAACAACGTATCTTCAACAGGGTATCTTCCGATTCGGATTCCAAGGAAATGTGAGGTGACTCCTTTCTTCGGCTCGGCCTGCTTTCGGAACAGAGGTCACGGAGGGTCTGGTACCGGTGTGAGTACCGTGTGAGTACGGTACCAGTAGCCTCCGGCACGACTGAGACTGAGGTATTTCCGTAGAGGAAGGATCGGCAATGGTGATGTGCCGTTCCTATTCCACTGTCGGCGGCCGAACAAGCCGATTAACAAGAAACTGGCTGGTGTATCTTGTAGGCCAGGTTGTAGGTGACCACTTGCTTTGTCGCTACCGCTCTGATATTGGTCGAGTTGGTCGATCGGCAGATTCTGTCGCGATTTTCCTCTTGTGGTTGACTCGGCCGATACCTTCCACTGCCGGCAGACAACCGAGCGATTAACAGGCTTGCACTACGGTAGTTCGTCAAGGAGGTCTTGGTTGATGGGTGGACTGCTTGGTTTCGGCTCGAACGGTCGCGATTCCAGTTTCCGGGTCGTCGATCTGTCAGGCATCGTCTCCTCGCCTTCTTTCCCTTCTTCTTTTCTTGATTTCCCAATAGCCACTCCTTGGCCTGCAATCTGCGACAATGTTAATCCGAAGAGATCCATCAGGGTAGATGCACAAAGAGCTGGCTGGAGTGGAGAGCTCTGCTTGGAGCCTCACTACTCTTGCTTATTCATCTCCACAGCTGACTGACAACTTACTCTTTGCCTTGCCACAATCCACACAGAAGGCTTCAACTTGTGGGAACTAGTGCTACTGAGGCTGTATCTGGTCACTATCCTTTCATTACTTCTTCTTCTTTAAACTATGCTAAAATCAACTGAACACAAATCCTCGCAGCACTCAGCCATGCGCTTTGGCTCTCTTGCATTTCATTTGGCTGGTGCTGCAAGCTACTTTCTATATTGGTCTTGGCTGAAACGCATCATCTTGGGTATATAGAGTTCCTCAGCTATTTCTGTATTGCCAGATTGCTGCACTGCTGACCCTACTGTTGGAGTATACAGGTGTCACAGCGATTCTTCACCTGGCTAAACCAGCACAGCTGCTTCGCACCACAATGGGAATTCACGTGGATTTCCACTCATCGACGTCAGTCGCTGATGACGTCAGTCGGCTGATCGAACGAACCATTCTGATTGGCTAATCCTCTACTATCCTCTACCGCGGTATTGTACCGCAGCTCTACAGCGGTGGGCCGATGTCGGTACGGCGGTCACGCTGTACTTGCTGTACCAAGCCTTTTATGTTCTGTTATGCGAACTACCGTGCTGTGAAATTTTTTTAAGCTAGTACTATAAAGGTTGAGCCCCCGCAGGGGGCTCTGAACCATAAAGATTGGGCCCCTTGGTGCCCAACCACCAAGCTAGCTAGCTAGTGGGAGTGGAACACATGGTCTTCTGGCTTGCCCTCAAAGCACTGCAGCAGAGTGAGCCTCCTGCATCTTCGACTTTGTCTTTGGGATGGACTTTCCCAGGACCCTGGCCCACCCTGAAGGAAGCAATTGCTCTGTGTTGGCCTAGCTTGAGGCCACTTCTGATAACCAAAGACAACTGCTTGTTGGTGCCACAATGGGGGCATGGAGTCTTCAGTCCTTCTTTGCCTGTTGCTGGGTCCATGAACTTGTACCTCGAATGCTTTTCCAGGATGCTGCGGTCAAATATCTCAGGCATAAAGAAGAGAATTTGAGTGTGAGCCGGGAGCTCAAATTCCATGGCTGCTAGAGACTGTTGCTCTGCCTTCCATCGTTTGTCAACGCCGTTCCCAAAGAAATTCGTAATTTGGGACTGGCCCTGGCCTGCAGCTTTCTTCCTTGCAAGGGCTCTCACAACAGGAGATGTGACTCCGTGGACTGCTCCCTGTGGGAAATGACGCTGCAGATGTTGATCCAATTTCCCCGCCTCTAGTGGAGTCCTAGCTTTCACAGAGGCACGTCCTATCTTGCCAACAGCCGCCAAGAACACCATGCCGTTGTCGTCCACCTTGGGGAACCGTCCACTGGAGTACAGGTCCCGGATGTAGTGGTCGATACCAGCCGGCGCCTCTTTCGTACTCGCACTCATCGTCTTCGGAGGATTGCGATGAAAGCGAAGCGGCTATGTCCTCGACTGCGGTGAGTACCTCTACCTCTGCGGCTACTCAATATTGCAATGAAAGCGAAGCGGCTATGCCCTCGACTGTGGTGAGTACCTCTACCTCTACGGCTACTATTACGGATGGGATGACCTCGGTTTTATTGTCTTGCTTCGCTATCTCGCTCAAATCCTCTGGATGCGTGCTCCGTCGGTCTTTCGAAAACAACACGAAAACAACACGAAAACACCACCACGAGAGACTGATCGAGCTGACACAGAGAATCGTGTGCACGACTGACGTGCATGCACGACTGACGTCATCGAAAGATGGAACGATTCTGACTGACGTCATCGAAAGATCCAACGATTCTGATTGGCTAATCGCCTACGGCGGTTTTTACAGAGGTAGTGTACGGTTGGGCCGATGGCGGTACAGGGGTCCCGCTGTACTTTCTGTACCAAGCCTTTTATGTTCTGTGGACGTAGCTTCCGTGCTGCGAAAATTTTTTTAGCTAGTACTTTAAAGGTTGAGCCCCCGCAGGGGGCTCTGAGCCATAAAGATGCTGCGGGTGTCCCGATCTTTGACCGGATATTCGAATCAGTGAATCGTTCAATCGATAATCTTTGAGCCAAAACAGGGGTACGTCAGCGATATCACCTCGGGCAAGGGCTCCGATTGACAACAATCGACGCCCGTCATCTCATGCTGGAATCTTTTTGTTGTCTTTTAGAACCAAACCGATAGACTGTTTCTCCTCCCTTCACTCTAGTAGCCAGAGCTCTAGCTAGCAAGATAGTTATAGATAGATGTGGAAGATGCATTGGCGGTTGCACCTCTTTCTGCTGTGGGTTGGTGTCTGTGATGGACTCTCCTCTCCGGCCTCGACTAGTACTACGGCGTCTGGAAAATCATTGTTACGAATGAACAGTGCTTCCAGGCACACTTTATACGACTTGCCCGTTTCTAACAATGGAGCTCGATGCCGTCTCATTCTCTACAAGGTACCGTATTCGTGGAACAAAAAGATTGAGTTTGAGCTAGCTGGTTTGCCCTGCCCAATCTCTGGTTTAAAGTCTAACAGTGCAATGCTGGTTTGGCTTCTTCATAATGTTTGATGTCACGATGCCACAGAAAGGCATAACAACCTCTGAGGTAGACATTGTTTCACCCGCGGAACTGGGTGGATTGAAATCAGAAGAGTATCAACAAGTGAACCCGCAAGGGAAAATGCCAGCATTGGTGATCCACAATAATGGGGTAGATCCGTCATCCTCCTTTGGCATTGCCGAGAGCGACACCATTAGTCGATATCTAATGTCAACCTACGCCACAACGGGACCATCCTTTCAACCAGATCTGGCACGGAGCAACTTGATGGCTCGGTTCCACGACATTTACCTAACCACCATTCAAGGATGCCTCTACAAACCGACACCTCCATTTGGCGTTTATCAGACACGACAAGACGCCTTGTTGGAATTCCAATCACAGCTACAAGTCTTGGAGGATCTCGTGGTCGACGACGGTCAGTACTTGTGTGGATCAGACATTTCCTATGCGGATGCCGCCATCTTTCCCACCCTGGTCTTTGCCGCCTTCATGATGCCTAAGTTTGACGGGGCTGCTGAGGGATTCCAAACCACACTCCCACCCAAACTCAACCAGTACCTGGAACATGTGCGAACCTACGATTCTGCCTTTGGCAAAGTCTACAATGAGGTAAGTATCGTACCGTGATCTGCATTGGTAAGCAAACAGATTGGATCTGCATTGCGAGGTGTGGTCCATAAGAAAGACATTGGAGTCTTGCACTTTTATCAAGCGATCCACAGCAACATGCAACAACAATACCAACCATACTTCTGTTTCTTTCTATTAGATTATGGATGTCTTGGAAGGTTCCTGGGAACAAGAACGAAAACGATGGGATGGCATTTGGCTAGCTGGACAACGAGATACAGATCCAGACACTATCTTTGACAAGATTGTTGCCAAGGAAATCTCAGCAGGCATTGTCCGCGAAACAGACGATATTCTGGCGTTTACCGATATCAATCCTGCTGCTCCAGCTCACATCCTCGTCATACCCAAGAATCGGAATGGATTGAGTCGTCTGCAAAAAGCCACACCCGAACATGTTGAAATTCTAGGCAAGCTCATGGTCGTGGCAGGCGAGATTGCCCGTGATGAATCGCTGGGGTTTGGACCTGATGGTGCTAGGATTGTGGTGAATGACGGCCCCGCAGCAGGACAAGAGGTCCCACACCTGCATATTCATGTGATTGGCGGAAGGGCCATGGCATGGCCTCCGGGTTAATGTTAGACTTATTGCTCGGTAGCAACTCCGGGTTGGTGTAAATATACCGGCGAACGTAGCTACAGAGGCGCGAGCCTCATTCATTCATGGATCGACGGATGGATTTCTCCCCTGCAAGACCATAGAAATTCAGTGAGGGAGAGAAGGAAGTGCTGCGATTTCAATAATGCACTTGATCCTTGGCAACGTCAGCTACAGTAGTTGTAGCATTGGGAACCTCAAACGTTTTTATGCATTACAGTAGACACTAAACAAAAAAAGAAATACACTGGCTAGGATTTCTTGCTTTTGAGGCTGACCATCTGAGCACACTTTCTGTACCACAGAAGAAGAGGCGCACAATTGGTGAGCCATCCTTTCCTGTTTTGCTTTTATGGCTAGTCGTCTTAGGGGACTGGTGGTGGCATCTCCATCGTTCCACCAATCTGCACGTAGAACCCAGGTGGTCCAGTGATATCCCCCAAAGAAATGACCTGCATCATGACAATCTTGCCATCTTTCACGGTAAACCACAGCCTCTCTGGGTCATTGGCAACACTCTTATTGCTTGTGGGAACCGGTGGGAAGGGACCAAAACCATAGGGTTCGCCAGTGTGGGTAGCACTTGCCCGAAGCTCCTCCACAACCACTTGCCCAGCGCGATCTTCCTTGATACACTCATAGGTAAACTTGATATCTGGGAAGCTCTTGTACAGTTTGTCATGTTCTGCCGCCAAGATTCCACCGGTAATGCTGGGGGTGTCTTCAAACTTGACAAGAACTTCTGGGGATGCAAAAAAGCTGAGTGTTTCTTCCAAGGAGGTATGGTTGTTCCATGCATTCATAAATGCCGTAATCACTTTTTCATTGGGTGTCTTGTACTCCACCACAAGCTCTGGAATGGCCATTGGCCTGGTAGTTTTGGACTTGCGATTCTTGTTATTCTTTTGGCTGGAATGTCTCTTGCTGGAGTTTCCCATGGTCGAATCGGAATAGTCGTTGGACAAGGTATCCGAGGACGAACCATGGCTTGCTCGGTACTCTTTATCGGTTGAACCAACAGCATTGCCATGTTTGGACGAAGTGGCAAGCCACTTCTTGGGTTGGAACAAGGTCTTGAGCTTCATGGTTGCAACTTGCAATGAATAAGAGAGCCGAGGAATGAATTGTGAGGAAAAGCGTAAAGTACAGTAGGAAGCTGACTCGTCACTCTTTCTACTACTAGCTAGTCTAGCTAGTACTGGTACTCGCAGTACATGTACTAGACTAGTACCCGGTACCACAGTGTGCCGTCGTAGTGTCGTAGTAGCTAGTAGTAGTAGGCAGTAGGTTCGGTACATCGTACATCGTACCGTACCGGTACACTGTATGTACCTGGAGTGCCGCTTTTGTGTTCATAAGTGGTACTGGTACCAGTGTTTCTATTTAATGTGCTTTTGTAGTGACACACTCGAGTCATTGCAATATATGTGTCCAAAAGCTCCAGATTAAAATCACTTGCCCCAGAACTGGTCATTAATTTTGGGCAATAGAAATGTTCGCAGTAACAATACGACTGTACGCCATCTGATAGAAAGGATGACTGCCCCTAATACTCAAAAAGATACATATCTCCACCTGTGCAGCTGGTCGCTGGTCGGACACCATTCTTCCTTGTAGCTGAGCAAACTTGCAAACTTACTTGATCATTGTGGCGTTGCAGCCGAGAAAACTTGATCGTGATGGAGGCACGAGCTTACTGGGGATCCCGGAACACCAGCTGACGAGGACAAAGAGGAAGTCTACTACATGTACTGAGAGGGATATAATATGAATGCTAGCTAGCTGCCCGAGAGACTGCTTCTGAACACGGGCCGTCGGGAGCAGCGTTTTCAGGCCTGCCAGTGACTCAGGGAGCTCCAAAGAATGATGGTATTGAAAGACAAAGGGGTGGTGGACGCTCAGACCCTCAGTTGCTCCTGTAGAGTGGTGAACTTAGTCTACCAGATCTGTGCTTGGCTTGCTATGTCTTCTCCTGATCTAGCTAGCAGTGGCTGATGTGAGATGTTTGCTTGTCCTTACCGTTTTGCTTGTATTGCCTCAAAACATTCTTTGATTATTGACCACAGGGTCAAATTGTTGCTCCATCCACTGCCTATCTGCAGTCTGTTGTGCTCTGAGCGATGATAGCCTGCTCGTATGACTTTTTTGCTGCCGCTCTTGCACAATCTTGCTTCATAATGAATCCATCCCCCGCGCTGAGGCCTTCCTTTCACAGAGGAAGCTGCCAATGGACGTGGTCATTCGCTACACCACCTCCAAGCAATACACTCCTCTATACTTCCAGCGCGCTTGGACGGCGCTGATGGTTGCTTGCCTTTCTGATACTAGCTAGCTAGTACTGCTTTCTTGGTTCGAAGGGCGGGCCAGAAAACGAGTTGTGCGGCCGTGGCCTTGCTGGCGGCGGCAGTGTTCGTCATTGCTGGCTCGAGTGATTCACGGGCGCGCTGCGCCGTGGGCGGGAACTGAGCTTGGGTCTGAGCTTGGGTCTGCGAAAGATACCGTACCTTGACGCGATTGCTCGAAGACCGCAAGTTGCCCCAGAGCTTTTCAGGAGCAACTCTTTGTTGTTCCTTCTGCTCCAGCTCTCCGACCTTCCCATCTCCGAAACCTTTTGAAGCCAACCTCAGATGGGTAGATCTGGTAAATACTACGAGTACTAGAATGGGCTACAGAGAACTTTAGACGATTTTGTAGACTGCTTTACTATCAGAAGTTGTATCTTGAATCAGAATTGTGTTTACCGCATCTACCTCGTGAAAACAGCTGTCTTCCTGGGCTGGATCCACTTCTCCGGCCTGTTTCGAAGCAGATCTTCCGTTGTACTAGTATGGTACCGGTACCAGTACGGTACGCCCACAAATTGCCAAAATACAAACCCAAGAACACTTGAAAGCAGTGCCTTCAAATCCTTTTATTAAGCATACAACAGCCCAACAACCCTACGCCACAATGAGTTTGATGTTTGCCTTGAACCAGACCAAGCAGAAGAAGGCAGTTGAGAAGCGGGTCAAGAAAGATCACGACGAACAGTGGAACTACAAGGTAAGAAAATACGAACCTCGTTGTTCTCGTCAGTCATTCCGTTGAGCACCAAAGCTTACCTCATTTTTCTTGTCTTTGAAATTGTTGTCGTCTTTTTATGCTAGGCCAAAGGACCCGATGGACTCGAGGCTTATCGCTTCGAGCAAACCGAGCGTGATCAGAAGCAAAAGGAGACTGCCCGCGAAACCAAAAAGAACTTGAAAGATATTCAGGCCAAGGGTCCCGATGGGCTTGAAGCGTATCGCTTCGAACAAACCGAGCGCGATCAAAAGCAAAAGGAGACTGCCCGTGAAACCAAGAAGAACTTGAAGGATATCCAGGCCAAGGTATGTTGTGCTGGTGGAGAGAACCAGGATGAACATGTGGCTGCAGATACATTGCTAACTCGTCCCCCTTCATTCAAATTCCAACCAATCCATCAAGGGCCCTGACGGACTGGAACAGTACAGGTTCAATCAGACTGAACGTGACCAGAAACAGAAGCAAACTGCCAGGGACCAGCTCAATGAAAACCACAACTTTGACTTGGCCCGGTCTTTGTTCGGTGGCGAACACGTATCCCAGGAACTGACTGCCGAAGAGTAGAGTCCTCGAAGGTGGCAATCTCTGTTCTTGAACCTTCTCATGAGCTTCAGTTCTCTCAAAGCAAAATACATCAGTATGCATATCAACACGGTGATAAAAAAGGTAACTCTAGCAAAGTCCTCAGCGTCGTCAATGAAACGATTGAGATTCAAAAGCGTTTTGACTAGTGCACTAATGGCTAGCTAGTTTATTAACACAAAAAAAGTTACATGGACTACCGTACTGCAATTGCTTTCAAGGTGCATTTCTCTCCCGCCAGCTGATTAGATGGCTTTTTGCTTTTGGCGGCGGAGCTTCATGTACAAACCCAAAGCAAAGAGGACCGCCAGAGGAGCCACAGCTGGGCCGCCTGATACAGTTTCAACCGCATGAAAGGCCAAGAGAGAGACAAAGATGGGCACGCCAATCAACAGTTGCACCAAGAGATTATGTTCCAAGGCAAATTCGGCAATCTGCTTCCCAGCAAGCAGGTATCCCATGATTCCTGAATCACCATCCACATTCTTGACATGATTTGGGCAGTGGTTGGAGCTGACGCCCATGCAGTAGACACGATAAGGAGCCAACCAAAGGTGCACGAGAAAGTTTTCCGACAGCCAAAAGCTTAGGAGTGGGTGATTCTGAATGGGAGCGTAATCAGCCATGGAAATGTAAGCGGACGCTTCAACATTGTTGACTTCAATTTTCCCTGACGGCGTCAGAGGCATGTAGAGTCCCTGTTTGGTGACAGTGGCAACCTTCTTGACGGTTCCGGTGGACAACTGGTCACCCACTTGGACACGGTCAGCTCGAATAGGGTTTGTGTTTCCATTAGCGTAGAGCAAATGATTGCCAGTCAATGTGATGTATGATTCCTTTTCTGTGGTAAGCTCCACAAAGTCTGCCACAAGATTTTCATGGTAGTGGCCAAAGCTGTAGACAGGCTCGTACTGATGGTTTGTCAGCACTTTATCTCCAACTTGCAGGTCTTTCATGGAGGTGATTCCCCGTCCCTCGACTGAAACTGTGGTGTCTCCACTGAAACAGCCACCTCCCCCAGCAACATTGCGGCAATCGCACGTGAGCACTAGATTCTGGTACCCCGCATCGGCCTGTGTTCGGATCTTGATGCCTTGCTCGCCATTGTAGTTTTGTGACGAAATTTCGTCTCCGCAGCTACCACCTTCGAGCTTGGCATCATAATTGGAGGAACTGGCAGTTCCAGAAGTGCTGTACTTGACGTACACATTGATGTTACTTCCTGCATCGCAGGTTACCTTGCACAAAAAGTCACTGGGAGAGATAAGGAATCAATATTAGCGTGCCTGAATGAGCCATCGAAGTCTTCATGAGTTCAAGGCATCCACTAATAATAACTCACCCTGAATTGGGAGCAGTGAAACCTCCGTCACTATCTGTCTTATCCAATGCTTGTGTGGCATGAGATCCGTACCCAACGGTCTTCACCCGATCACCGCATTCACCGCGAGCCAAGGGGGAAGAGATGGCCACCAAAGCAGCCGCAAGCAGGGTAGAGCACTTCATGATTAGTTCTGTTGATTGCTTTGTCGAGTTGTCGACTGCGCAAATTGTGAGGAAATCCAGGCTTCTTTTGACCTGGAGGCCAATGACAACGGCAAAAAGGCTAGGGACAAACAGGAACGCAAAAGTTTCGCATGCCAACGCTCGGCATAAAAGCGATCTCCGGAAACCAACGCGTCGTGGAGATGTCACCTCCACCACTGGGACAAGTGTCACTACAGTACATTTGAGATTTTAAAAATGATTGTGTCTCAGCATGTCTCCCTACTGTAATACCAACATGTACTATTCCTACTGAGATTCATTCTATCATCGGCAAAGGTGCCTCTGTTCTGGCGTTGATGTTGACAATGAACGGTAAAAGGTGATCTTGATTGGAGGCATAAATCCAAGTTTTCCATTCATCAAGGATTTAAGAGCCATTTAAAACAACACAGCCAAAAATTACATCACTGGTACGGTACACGGAATTTCGGTAGCGGTACATGTAATAACACTCTCGTAAATGATCTGGCCATGATCCAGTACAGTGTACTGATAGAGCGGCAACCCACAACCTTCACTTTGGAAGCTCAAAAAGACTGAAAAGGCGATCAGTGATGTTGCCGGTGTTGCTGATTGAACGATGTATTTTAGTAACAGCAGTGGATCTTGTTTTCCCTCACCCTGGCGTTCCGTGACCTCAGCCAGTGAACGTCCCGGCATCCTACCTTTTTGATGCCTTGGCTGGCTGTAGTCTCCCATAGCTACCGGTAGCTACAGCACTTGTTCAATCATGTTTTACTCTTGCTGCGGTCATGGGTGGTGTTTGATACACATTTTTTAAAGATGCAGGAGCAAGCAGGATACCGTAGTGCTGTCTAAAGGTCCAGGAGTTCAACTTCTGGAGCGTAGCACTTGTACCTATCGCTCCTCCAGGCCTCAGAGCGAGCCATGGCTGGACAGAGGTGCCCGATACCAGAAGGCGCGCCGACTGTTGCGAGTAACAAACGTTTGCTGACTAGTGCGGAATCATGGTAACACAGCTAGATATCGGTATTAGTAGATCGTGACTTTGTCTTCATGGAGCTCTTAAAGTGGTGGGTTGAATGGACAAAACTCCGTACCGGTAGACTACCTCTCGTGCGTACCGGTTCCTAGCTCTGGCTGCGGTGGTACCAGTACCGGTACTGCACTGTACCTTTCCCGGTGCAATGTAGCTTGCGCATTCAGCCAGTACATGTACAGCGTACCTGTTACCGGTACCGGTACCGGTACTCTTGGAGTAATTGGCAGCTTTGCAGTGTTTAAAAAGATTTTTGAATATTTTTCATTTTTACGGAATTACTATCAAGAAGCACAGACGGTGAGGAGCAAAACAGAAATCCCCACAACAACGGATTGACCTATTGAGTAATAGTTCAATCCTATTTCGTGGGATTGCTTTAGGACAAGTAGACGAGTACCAGCATCCTACTGCTGAACCAAAATGGATTTTAGGAGATCGGTCTCTTTTAGGATTGGACTAATATGGGGTCTTCGCAAGCAGGCCCAGCTAGTCTATCGTTGCACCCCTACTGGAGCGGAGGTGCACCGAATGACCAGTCAATGTTCCAGTAAGCGGGTCGGACTGACATTCCTGCTTCCATTTTGCACCAGCTCGACCGTGATGGCAGGCGATTCTATTTCGGCGAAGCAGAAACCATTCCCGAGTGACGCACTAGAGGTTCGCATTGGAAGTCACGTTTGACACCGAGTCATGCATCGGAGTCTACTAACAGAGAGAAAAGAGCCAGCATGCTGCCGGTACCGGCATGCCGACTTGCTGCATTGGTGCGAAAGTGTCTATTCCATGACAAAAATGAGGTAACCGGTACAAGCGTTCTACTGTAATCTATATAGTGAACTCTGCTCAAGGCTTACTATTTCAAGCCCTCTTTCGCCTCACAAATCGAACCGAAACAACGGCAAAGATGGTGTTTCGCGACTATGCTCCTGGTTCCACTCTCTGGGTAAAGACGGGTGCTCACCGTAATCAGGCTGCGACTTTTGTTGAGGGTGACGGCCCTCTTCACTGCTTTATTGAGCTGTTCAATAAGTCCAAGGTGAGAGTCAATTGGACCTCTATTGAGTATCTGTTTGATGAAATTGAAGAACACGGCAGGTGGACCGGCAGCCCCCATGATGGTCACTACCGGCGCAGCAAAAACCACAACAACAACAACAACAACAACAACCGGCCTTTACAGCAATGCGGTACACAGTGGCGTAGAAATGAATGCCCTCTTTTACAGGTTGGTTCGTGCTGAAGCAGAGTGCAGCGAGCTTCGCGGCACCATCACCAGTCTCCAGGATCGAATTCAGGCCAATGAAGACCGCATTCAGGCCAACGAAGAGTTCTTGCACAACAGCGACATCCCCAGTGGCTTCTAGAGTAGTTTTTTAATCATTACTAGTTGTTAATTTGTTATCTATTTACTGTTTTGCCTTCGCCTTCTTTGAG